CAGAGCACAGAGCATTGGCACAGGGCAGCACCGGAGACTCAGGCAGGGAATGATGAGGTAAGCCGTAAAGAACAAAGAGACTCTAGAATAGCAGGCACATAGAATAAGATCTCTTCATTTTGAATATGTAAAATCTAGCCAAAGAAAGCATTATAAGTTTAATTCCGTTTAACTCAGTAGATGACTGTATGCATGGTTCCATATTAAAAATGGCATATAAAAATTTGGCCGGCCGAAAAACCTAGTGTTTGTTACATATCTGCCAAGTGTTCGTATAGCACATGTAAGTTTCCACCTTTGACTTTGAAAGGCTAAATTGTCTATTAACATTACCTGAAAAAATGTTCATCACCACTAGCCATCAGGGAGATTCAAATTAAAACCACAATGAGATACCAACTTACATCAGTTAGAATGGCCAAAATTAGCAAGACAGGAAACAACGTGTGTTGGAGGGGATGTGGAGAAAGGGGAACCCTCTTACACTGTTGGTGGGAATGCAAGTTGGTGCAGCCACTTTGGAGAACAGTGTGGAGATTCCTTAAGAAATTAAAAATAGAGCTTCCCTATGACCCTGCAATTGCACTACTGGGTACTTACCCCAAAGATACAGATGTAGCGAAAAGAAGGGCCATCTGTACCCCAATGTTCATAGCAGCAATGGCCACAGTCACCAAACTGTGGAAGGAACCAAGATGCCCTTCAAAGGACGAATGGATAAGAAAGATGTGGTCCATATACACTATGGAGTACTATGCCGCCATCAGAAAGGATGAATACCCAACATTTGTATCAACTTGGATGGGACTGGAAGATATTATGCTGAGTGAAATAAGTCAAGCAGAGAGAGTCAGTTATCATATGGTTTCACTTATTTGTGGAGCATAAGAAATAACATGGAGGGGGCGCCTGGGTGGCTCAGTGGGTTAAAGCCTCTGCCTTTGGCTCGGGTCATGATCCCAGGGTCCTGGGATCGAGCCCCACTTCAGGCTCTCTGCTCAGTGGGGATCCTGCTTCCTCCTCTCTCTGTGCCTGCCTTTCTGCCTGCGTGTGATCTCTGTCTGTTAAATAAATAAATAAAATCTTTAAAAAAAAAAGAAATAACATGGAGGACATGGGGAGATGGAGAGAAGGGAGTTGAGGGAAATTGGAGGGGGAGACGAACCATGAGAGACTGTGGACTCTGAAAAACAATCTCAGGGGTTTGAAGGGAAGGGGGGTGGGAGATTGGGGGAGCCAGGTGGTGGGTATTATGGAGGGCACGTATTGCATGGAGCACTGGGTGTGGTGCATAAACAATGAATTATGTTACACTGAAAAGAAATTAAATAAAAAAAATTACCTGAGAATGTTAATAATAAACAATGAAAATATTTTTAAAATTCTTCTACCAAGAAGTATGGAAGCTCAAGGATGATTTATTGGTCCCATAACTGCCTTACAGAACTGTGTTTCACAGTGGAAATTGACACGAGAATGCAAACTTCAGTTATTCCTGAGAGCATCACTTTTGTCCGCCCAAGATAATTTTGTCTCATCCAACAGAATCTGTCTCTGTGTTCTGTGGAAACAAATGGTCCTACACAAACAATATAGAATTCTGCCATGAAGGAAATTAAAAGTCAAGTTTGAAAGGAATTATTCAGTTTGGTTGTTTGCAGAATGGGTTCCAGAATACCATGGACACCTCTCAGTTCCCAGGGTACTCCAGAAGAAGATCTGAGGAAGGGGAACCGCAGCCCCATTCCCACACACCGCAAAGATTCCTCACAAAAAGAAAACACACTGGTCAATGGCATATGAATACATACCAAATGCTTTTCCTTCCTACAGAGTTTTCAGCCAAACAAAATTCTTTGGATATACTACCTTCTTGCACAATTTAAAAATGACCAACACTTTTTTTTTTCAAAAGCACTAAATACACACACAGACATACAATTCTTTGATCAGACTAAACCAAGGATCAGAGCATTCCTGAGTTTAAAACAATATGCTTCCATAATGTGTACTAAACTCATGCTTTTACACTTGATCCTTGAATATGGTGGGGTTAGGAGCACCAACCCTTGTGCAGTTGAAAATCTGCCCATACAGCAATGTTCACAAGAGCCAAACCATGGAAAGAGTCGAGATGCCCTTCAACAGGTGAATGGATAAAGAAGATGTGGTCCATATACACAATGGACAACTACTCAGCCATGGGAAAGGATGAATGCCCAACTTTTGTATCAGCATGGACAGAACTGGAGGAGACTATGCTAAGTGAAATAAGTCAAGCAGAGAAAGTCAATTATCATATAGTTTTACTCATTTGTGGAACATAAGGAATAGCATGGAGGACATTAGGAAAAAGAAGGGAAAAATGAAGGGGGGGGGAATCAGTGGAGGAGACAAACCATGAGAGACTATGGACTCCAGGAAACAAACTGAGGGTTTTAGAGGGGAAAGGGGTAGGGGAAAGGGTGAGCCTGGTGATGGGTACTAAGGAGAACATGTATTGCATGGAGCACTGGGTGTTACATGCAAACAATGAATCACGGAACACTACATCAAAAACTAATGATATCCTGTATGGTGATTAACATAACATAATAAAAAAAAGAAAAGAAAATTTCAACTTCCTCAAATCTGAACCTCAGTTGAAAATTTGCCTATAACGTTTTTTTTTTTTTTTTGCCTATAACTTTTGGCACCACGAAAACTTAACTGTAGTTAAAAATCTGCCTGTAACTTTTGACTTCCCTAAGATTTCATGACTAATAGCCTACTGTTGACCAGAGAAGTCTTACTGATAACATAATCAACTAACATATACTTTGTGTATGTTTATACACTGTATTCTTATAATAAATTAAGCTAAGAAAAGAAACATAAGAAAAATATAAAGAAAAAAGAGATTTACAGGACTGTACTATAAATTTACTGGACTGGACTGTAAAAACATAAGAAAGAAAAAACAGATTTACAGGACTGTACTATATATATAGGTACATATGTGTGTATATATACTATATATATATATACACACACACACACATATATATATATACACACACACATACATATATATATATATAAAATCCATGTATAAGTGGACCCACAGTTTCAAAACCAAACTGTTCAAGGGTCAACTATACATACTTCCTTTATTGGAAAATATTTAAAAAGAAAGGTAAGGAATGAGAAGAAACAAATATTTATACATTCTAGCAGACAGCTGTTATTTCTGGGAAGATCATGGAAAAATACGCACCTTCACAAGACCTTGGAACGAACAAAAGTTAGAAAGTGGTTTGGAGAAGGAAAAAATATTTGGCTCAGAAAATGCTCAGTTTTATTGCTTATGAGGGATTTGGCCTTATGGAATTATGAATTAAAGAAGAGAGATTATAAATTGAGATTGAAGTGAAAAAAGCCTGACACAAAAGGCGACACATTGTGTGAATCCATTGATTATGAAATTTCCAGAATAGGCTGACCCACAGACATAGAAAGTAGATGAGTGTTAACTCAGGGTCAGGGGGAGGGAGGGAGGGGGAGACAATATGAGGTCTCTTTGTGAGGCGATAAAAATATTCTGGAATTAGTGGTGCCTGGGTGGCTCAGTCAGTTGGGCAGCTGCCTTCAGATCACGTCATGATCCCAGAGTTCTGGGATCGAGCTGTGCATGGGGATCCCTGTTCAGTGGGGAGACTGCTTCTCCCTCTCTCTCTCTGCCTGCTGCTCACTCTGTTTGTGCTTTCTGTCTCAAATAAATAAAATCTTTAAAAAAAATTATTCTGGAATCAGAGAGTGGTAATATTTGTACAAATCTGGAAATGTATTGAAAAACACTGCATTATATACTTTAAAATGGTGAATATTGTAGGTCAATCAGGCCCTTGAAAGCAAGGTCCATGAAAAACCAGTGAGGAAAGGAATTGAATAAAAGACAAAAGAATGACAGAAGAGGTTAAACAGGACACTTATTCAGAGGGTGGGTTTTGGTTTGGGTGGGTTGTTTCTTTTCCTTTTCTTCTTTTTTGAACTCTTTGAACAGAGGATCCATATCTGATTATTCTTTCTAGTCCCTCCACAGAATTAAGCACAATGTTATGTAATAAGTGTGCTTGAACTGTTGGTTGGTCATCGATTAAATGATAATGGACATCAGGAGCTGTCTCTGCAATGATTTAGAGATGACAATGTTATCCATTCTGTTTCTTTACTATCACTACCATTTCATACAGAAACTCTGTGTCCCGATTTGGTGTTACAATATAGCATAGCCATGTACGATTTGGTTTTGGTCATAGTGATGTTTGTCTCATTTTCTAGAACTCTTCTCTTTACAAATCATCTATGCTTATGTGTTTTCAGATTAATGTTCTTGCTTTTATTTCCCAATTAAATGAAAAACACTTGACATTTGCAAGACACATCTAGTCAATTGTTTTCTTATCTGTACTAAGAGCTCTGTAACAGGCATTAAAAAGACTAGTTGGAAATCTGATAAAAAAAATGTAGGTTTAGCCAAGGAAAGAATGTATTTCTATAACACACACGAACCACAATTAAGAAAAGTGAGTGCTGACACCGTAGAAAGAGGTGTTTTTTGCCTGTGATAAATAAACCATGCCAGTTTGTAATATCATCATACGGCTATCTCTTTAAGAGTGCACAGAAAACCTCACCCATATCCCGATGTTACAGAGAGACATGATCTGGACCCATTTTACAGATAGAAAATAAACAGGTTAAGCGAGGCTAAAGAACAGAGCTTTTCCTTCTAGTGGCTTCTTCCTACCATGTGGATACAGTAAGCAAATGCTGTGAAGAACATGGAAAACACAAGTCTCTATAGAAGGGACTGCAAGTTGTGGTCACTCAAGCAAAACTGTGTACGAATATCATTGTATTATTACTATAGAGGTCTGAAACCTGAAACTAGAAAAGGAAAATATGAGGATATCCAGAAAAGCCATGGCTGGAAATCACACCCTTTGCCTCGCACATACCTGCAGCAAGGTAACCACCTCCACCGGCTTTATAGAGAACGTGGCTTGCAAAGGGAGCTGCACAGATGATCAGAAAGCTTGCAGTCACCACGGTGACGACCCCCAGAAGCATCAGGACTGCCCAGAAACCACGGTAAACTGGAGACCCCAGAGGGGAAAGGAGAAAAGAAAACCGCATTTAGATTGTGAACCCCACTTGGATTGTACCACGCAGTCAGTTTCTTTCCTCTTTATTGCTCTGATTTCGGTACCAGCAGAGTGAAGTGGAATCCCAAGCCATGGGTCCTGAATGACGATCCAAAGGAAATTTTACTAGAGAACTTTGTACTCAGTGATGTCAACCTTTAACTAACTCGTGTTTGGTATTTGCACCACACAGATGCTCAGTACACTGAGTACACTCAGTACACTCTCAGAGCTCATTTTCCGGACCTTGTTTTCCACTTTAGAAGTGGGAATGTCCTAAAGTTCTGGAAAGAGCTCCCTTAAGTAAATACCTAGTGTTAGGGTGTTTCATACCAAACGTACAAAGACATGAAAAGTCATTCACATTTACAGACATCATTTCTTACTACCACTGTCACCCCCTACAAGCTAATAATCACCCCCAATCCCCTAACAAAAAATTATACTTCTATTTAGACTGTAATTCTACTAGATAATAGTCTTCAGTAAGAAAAATGGCAAACAAAACCAAAATTAAAAGTTTGTACAGAGATTTTAAATCAGATATATTTAAGGCATACTACTTTCTAGCAATATTTTTCTTAGAAAGGTTCAAAATGAAAAGTTAGAGTAGTCTCTTATGCATGGACCAGCAAAGCTGGATTAACGGATGCAGCTGGTGATAAATGGATGGTGGGTTTGGTGATACACAGTAATCAAACAAAGAGGAATTCTAATGATCATTTTTGAGTGGGATAATTACTGATCTATTAAACAAATTCATCATTTCCCAAGGTCTAAAACACTAACAAGTTCTTTTTGGTATAAATGAGGGAAAGCTCCATACAACGCATTAGTCAAATTACATTTTTTAATGAAAACATAGAACTTTGTATAAGAAAGCAAAATAAATGATTTTCTTCCACAAGCCCACCTGGGAAGGGGAAATCTGTGCCCATCAGATAGAATCTTAGAGTAAAGAGCATAGGAAGATGGAAATTTGTGGGGAGATGGCCCTGCCTTTACATCGGAAACAAAAGCTGGAAATTGTGTGCGGACACGTGTGAAAAACAGGAGTGAAAGACCGGCTTGTACCCCACACCCCATGCTTTTCACTTGCCAGTGGTTTCCGGGTTTGGGGTGCTAGGAATATTCTTTGGCTGCATACAGGCTCTGCAGGGTGCCAAGCCGAGGAAAAGTACTGAACATCTTTGAGCGTGGGAAGAGTGGTAGACAGTGAGCCAAACACGCTCTGTCCGGGTCATACCAGAATTTACTGGAGAATTGGCAAGCTTGACTTTTTATATTTTCATTCACATACACACACAAAGATTTCCTTCACATTGGTGAGCCTCACATTTTATGCTTGTATTCCCTTCAATTACAATTGTGCATCATGTGGTAGGTTCCGTGGCAAGTATTGGGGTGAAAACATGATTAAGAGGCAGTCCACAGAATAAGGAGCCTATTCTGTGGCTCCCCTCACCACAACTTAAATGTGGACACGCTTGGCAAACAGCTATCTGAGGAGTCAGGAAAGTAAATAGCAAGTGGCTTAAGGAGAAAAGTCAAAACTTAAGAAAAGATAAAATTGGCTACAAAGAGTTTTCTGAGTTTATCCTTTTTTTTCTCTTTCTGGATTTGTCCTGAAAGCAAGCCAAATTGGGAACTTTATAAAAGGTGCAAACAACAAGGGCTCCTGGGTGGCTCAGTGGGTTAAGCCTCTGACTTCGGCTTGGGTAATGGTCTCAGGGTCCTGGGATCCAGCCCCGCATCAGGCTCCCTGCTCAGCGGGGAGCCTGCTTCCCCCTCTCTCTCTGCCTGCCTCTCTGCCAACTTGTGATCTCTGTCTGTCAAATAAATAAATAAAATTTTAAAAAAAAAAGTGCAAACAGCAAAACAAAAAAACAAAAACAAAAACAAAAATCCGGAGTTAAGATCATTCTGGCTAGATCAGCAGGAAAGGGGCTCCCTATAAGCCAGAGTATGGGGAAAGTCTCCGTGTTGAATTTTCTCTTTTTATTCAACCAGTCCTGCCTTGAGACTTCAAAAGTAAATCTGTACTGCTACCCCAGGGGAGACATGGACACCTAAGATCCCAAATGATGATTCAACCTTTTGGCTACAAGAAGCAGAAAAATGGTGTGCCTGGGAGGTTTAGTGGATTGAGTGACCAACTCCTGGTTTTGGCTCAGGTCATATCTCATGGGTCCTGGGATGAAGTCCCATATCCAGCTGCCCACTGCATTAGGCTCTGTGCTTAGCAGAGAATCTGCTTGAAGATTCTCTTCCTCTACCTCTCCCGCCCACTCACGTTCTCTATCTTTCTTAAATTAAAAAACAAAACAAACAAAAAAAAACATGAAAAAAAAAAAAAGAAGAAGAAGATGAAGCAGCAGCAGCAGAAAAAAGGACACCCAGTTTGCAAAGAGTGAAGGAACCAGTGCTATGGGTTTTCCTCTTCTTTAACTGCTTTACACTTCTTTAACTGCTTTGTACAACTGCATGAAAGTAGGCCATGGCCCAGGAGGCCAACTCTGAGAAACATCTTTCCAGTGAGAAAAACTGGAAAAGTGGATCCTGGGAGCCCGAGAATATGGAAGAAACCCCACAAATGAGACAGAACCAGAGAAGAGAATCTCTAATCCTGTGTTTGAACCCACACAAGTGCTGAGCTCACCTTCAAGTTGTACATGCACCAAAAATGCCCAAAGAAGTACGATGAAGACTTTGAGAACTGAATTACAGTACCACATCACCCAAGAACCAGAGCAAGCCCTGAGGATATATATATGCCCCAGCAGACCCAAACAGCATCTCAAAGGCTTTGAAAACTTAACTGACCTTGACACGACCACCACAAAAGCAAAGGACAAATCATGCAAGTAGATTGCTTGTTCAAACAACAAACAAATATTCTCCAGAGAAGTTTCACAGTGTGCAAGGTCTAACGATATAATGTTCAAAATGTCCAAGCTATAATCCAAATACTAACAACCAAATTCGACCAATTCTCAAAGGAATGAGCAATCAGCAGATGCCAACCCAAAGACGGTTCAAATGTGCGAATTATCACACAGACTTTAAAGCAGCTATTAGAACCATTTTCTATGAACTAAGGTGGACACTCTTGAAATGAAAAAGAGAAATTCTTAAAAGAAATAGAGTCTATAAAAAAAAGAACTAAATCGCAGTGAAAAATATATCTGAAGCTTAGAATCCATGAAATGAGCTCAATAGCAGAATGGAGATGAGAAAGAACAAGTGAACTTGAGGAGTGAGCAGTAGAAATAATCTAGTCTTGGGGCACCTGAGTGGCTCAGTGGGTTAAAGCCTCTGCCTTTGGCTCGGGTCATGATCCCAGGGTCCTGGGATCAAGTCCCACATTGGGCTCTCTGCTCAGCGGGGAGCCTGCTTCCTCCTCTCTCTCTCTCTGCCTGCCTCTCTGCCTATTTGTGATCTCTCTCTGTCAAATTAATACATTTTTAAAAAATTTAAAAAAAGAAATTATCTAGTCTGAACAGAAAGAAAAGAAATTGAAATAAAAAATCACTAGAGGCAGGGGTGCCTGGGTGGCTCAGTCAGTTAAACATCTGCCTTCAGCTTAGGTCATGATCCCAAAGTCCTGGGATCAAGTCCCACATTGGACTCTCTGCTCAGGGGGAGTCTGTTTCTCCCTCTGCCTCTCCCCTTGCTCATGCACTCTCTCTCTAATTCTCTATCTCTCAAATAAATTAAAAAAAATCTTTTTAAAAATGGCTAGAGTCTCAGTGACTTGAGAGAGAAAATCAAAAGATGTCACATTTGTGCCACTGGAGTCCCTAAGGCAGAGGCAGACCATATTAGTGCAGAACGAACATTCATAGAAATAATGCCTGAAAAATTCCCAGATTTGGTGAAAGATAAATTTATAGATAAAAGAAACTCAACAAACTCCAAAGAACAAACACTGAAGAAAAAAAAATAAGCCCAGACACATAACAATAAAATTACTGAAAACCATAGATAAAGAAAAAGTTTTTAAAAGTCATCACAGGTGGGTAGGGGGGAAGACAGATTGAATACAGAGGACAACAATCCAAGGACCACATTTTCTCATCAGATATGATGGAGGCCAGGAGAGAGTAGAACAACATCTTAAAGGCAAAAAAAAGAAAAGAATTATCAACCTCAAATTCTCCTTCTAATGAAAAATATCTTCCAGGGATGAAGATTAAAAAAAGCCATTTCTCAAGGAAGAAGACAGAATTTATCTAAGCAGACCTGTCCTCTAAGGACATAGGAGAAGGAATTTCTTTAGGTTGAAAGAAAGGACACCAGGGTTCACTTGAAACTTGAGGAATAAAGGAAGAAAAACAGCAAAGGTGAGTATCTGCATAAATGTGACCTAGTATTTTTCTCATCTTCATTTCTTTAAAGTATTCTCGACTATTGAAATACAAAAATATATTGTCAGCACAATACAGTAAAGACATGAAGGTTTTACAATCAGGGTGACTTCAGTATTTACCCCTTACATGTGATGTTATCTTGGACTAGTCACTTAAGCTTCCTGAACAACTATCTCTTCTGTAAAATGCAGATGTTTCCATCCATCCTTTAGAGTTTTGGAAGAATTATTAATAATGTATGTGAAGTGTGTGACATAAAATAAAAAATCAATGAATAGCATTTATTTTATGGTTGCTTTTATTTACACTATTATTTAAATTGTATGAACACTACACAGCAGGTGGTACTGTGTTCAGTAATAGGAAAGTGAATTACTTTCCTCAGAGAGCTTGCATGCTGCTTTTATGTACCATTGACGTTTGGAAATCCCTTTAGATTGCAGCACACTGTGCAGAAGAGAAGTTGTGTTTGATATACTGTCTTCCATGGGACATTTCCTTGTCCGCTAACCTCTAAGAAGGCATTGGTCCTGTATTAGAACATGGGACTCTACTCCTAAATACCCAAAATACAAACAAATG